CAGCGTTTCTGGAGCTTTATTTCTGGATTATATTTTTTTCTCCTTTAGCCGAAAGAAAACAATTCGACTCGACGAGCTTGATTATTCGTTTTTTTTTCTGCTACATTCGCGCGCGGGAGAGACTCGCGCAACTGACAGGAAGATTGAGAAAAAGAGAGACAGAGAGAGAGAGAGAGTGCGAAAGTTTAGAGAGTACGAGTAAAAGAGAGAGGGATTACAAAGCGAGAACGAACTACACACACACACATATCTAGTGTTGGCCGTCATCGCGTGAACGGCACACGAAGGTCATATATTTGCATATCGGCTAAAGGCGCGCGCCCGTCTAGTCCGAGTGCCGATCTTCGCGCGTTTTCGGAGCCCGACACTTTTTTCGTTTGAAACCTAATACAAATTATATTGTGTATGCATTAAATCCTTTTGACTTGTTTTAATTGAATGTTGAATCTTTCCCCGAAGAATGTACAAATATTCTTAGAAAAAATTCACCCAACGACTCGTTGATTTTTTACAATTACTTTTTCAGCTTTTTTTTTATTTTGCTCTGCTTAGACGTGATCGATCTATCTGTAGATGACGCTCGATTATTATTTATTGGCCGATTAAATGTACGATAACTACGAAACTTGGGAGAATGCAACATTGCAAATTATTCGCATCGAGGGCTGCGTTATCCTGGAAATATAGTATCTCATAAATTTATAGTTCAATAAACAGCTCGATTGATTTTTTCAAACATTAAAAGATGATCTATTTCGCATTCGGCGAGATCGATGATCGAACTGAAAATTATATCTTAATCAAGAAATGCAAAATGAATAAGACAGCCGATGAATATAGTCTCATTCATAAAAAAAATAAATTACTCAATGTAGAGAAAAAAAAATTGTAAAGCCTGGCATAAATTTTTGACGAGATTTTCGAAGGCCAGGAAAAAAATGGGCCATTATAAATTATAATAATGCTACAATAAATAAGTGGATTTGAATAATTGTAAAAATGATCAGTCATCGTCCGATCCGCGTCGTTTGAAGCACTCGAGAGGCAGAAGACGCGAACGAATTAAAACATACAAGTACATAATTGCGTGTGAACTTGAAATTCCTGACATAATGTTGGTCGGTTATTTAAATGAATGGGCGACGTAGGGAAAAATAGTCTTTTATAGGAGAAGTATGCATAATCGTGAAATCTCCTCACTGGTTCGTTCACGCGAGCGACAGATAGGAATTGGTCACATATTAATTTTCTTGCTGTTATTTTTTCTCTCGGGAGTCCAGAGAGGAGCTTTGAAAGTCGCCGAAACGCATAGATTCGTTGGCGTCAGTACACGAGTACAGGTGGAATCTTTGAGATTCAAGTCTGTCATTTTCAAAGATATTCGATTGTGTAAGAGAGAGAGAAAAAAGATGTGTGTAGCAAGTGATTAGAGCTGGAAAAGGGACAAAGCGAAATACATAATTAGTGGCTATGGAAAGAAGAGAGAAGCGTAGAAGAAAAAAAGGAAAGTCAGCGGAGTTAATTGATTCATTAAGTCGACGTGTGGATAGAGAAGTGAGGAAAAGAAAAGGCTTAGCGCGCGCGCAAGTAAGTGTATGGGAGCAGCAGCGGAGAATAAGCAGCAGTGGCAAGAGAGCAGGTAAGGTGCAATAAAAGGTGAGCAAGTACAGCAGCTCGAGACGACGACGAGGACGACACGTCGGTCGTTTTTCGTGACTGCATCGTGTGTACATGTGCATGTGCGCGCAGGATGCTGCAATGGCAAAAGGGAGCATTAAGGTATGCGAGTCGCGACGTCCGAGCCTGTATATATGTATCTGGCGCGCTTGTGTGTCTACACTCACGCACTCGCGCGAACGTGTACGTGTGCAAGTATATAAGACTATAAGGTACAGGTAGTGGCAGCAGCAGAGAGAGAGAGAGAGAGAGAAAGAGAAGCGCTTCAAGAAAGGAAGATGTCTAAGTCTCGGTTGGGGGCTGGTTCTCACGTTCGACCAATCATACGTCGGCTCGTTTATTCTATATATACGAGAAGCAGGCGCGCCTCGATATACTCTGGGCTCTGCTGTATAGCTATATATCCAGTACCTTCCATGCACAAATGCTTTTGCACCCCCACGATACTTGGCGCACTGCTTACACGGACTGTTTTTCTCCTTCTTCGCTTCGCTGCTTCTCCTCTCGCGCTCCATCTCTTCGTCTTCTCTCTCTTTCTCTTGCGCGCCGAGCGACTATAAATAATCGCTCGAATATTATCGATAAGCAGTGCAGCTGCGTGTGCACCGACGCCGCTTTTTACATCATCATCGTCGTCGTCTTAGTCGTCGTCCAAACAAAGCCAGCCTCTTTACTCGCAGACTCCTCCAAGGACACGCATGCGTACAGGGCACGAAGAAAATTGCCAGCCGGATAGAGCCATCCGCGTGCGTGCAAAAAGCTCCGGCTCATTACGGACGCGACGATAAAAATGTCACTTTATTATTCCACTACTGCTACTGATTTCCTCTTGCGTCATTATTACGGCTCGCCATCGGACAAATATCGACAGCCAGACTCAATGAAACGATGACTAGTGACTAGGATAGTAAAAAAAAAACGTCGCACTTAGCGCCACAGCGAGAAAGTATAATAATATTATACATACTTACATACACATATAGGAGCGTAATAATTGTGCTATGAAAAATGGCCAAGCTCGGCTGGGCATTCGTAACGCTCGATACATCATTATAATGTAGACGACTCTGGACGATCGACGTATTATTGAGATATGTATTCAAGATGGAGCGGTAAAACCTGTTTATATTTTAGTACTTGGCAGCTCTCGCGGATCGAGCCGCGACTGCGAGCTGCCCATTGATCAAAAACTCGAGAAGAGATTTATCGGTAAAAGAGGACGAGTTTGGCACTCGAACGAGAGACGTAAGAGAGATAAGGTTATAGTACGTTGGCGCAATCGATCTCTCTAAATGTCCATCCGAGCGCGACATATAACGTCGTTGTCCCCCAAAGGCCCGCCCGTCCAATTGAAACAATTAATATCGATTATGTATCGATGAACGCGATACGCGTACGCGAGAGGATTCGATTCGCTCGTGCCAGTAGCGTTGCATCGAATTCCGAGCGAGAAAAATCGGTACAGCCGGAGGAGTTTTGGCCTCTATTGTGCCTCGCTCGCTTCTCTTTTCAGCGAAAAACACACGTGCCGTGTACTCGGGGTCTCGTGGTTGTGGCGCGGGTGGATGTAATATAAACTTTTTTACGGCCGAGCTACGTCGCTTTGTGCGCCGCGACGCAATGTAACTATATGTATACAAGAGAATACCAAGTCTCTCGAGTACGCGTATATATAATGTTTGCGCTCAAATATATAATACGTGTGTACGCACGTACTGTACATCGATGTGCACTTGGTGCGGATATATGTATAAAAGAGCTATGGAGAGCGCGAGCGAGCGAGAGAGCCGAGGCCCAGCGCGCAGGAGAGGATAATTGAGTTATTATTGCAATTGTAGACCACCTTGGAGTTTCAGCGGGTCAGAGCCCCTTTGGCCCAGCAGCAGCAGCAGCAGCAGCAGCAGCAGCAGGTTCTCTTCTTATAAGGCAAACTTTCGCACAGGGCGCGCAATTTATATATGCATCTCGTACTCCAGCCTAAATGTCTCGCAAGAAAAATAATAAACGAAAAAAGTCCCGAGTGAAATTTGTCTGCGCAATGTAAACGAAACCACAAAAGTCGGATACACGCGCGTAATTGAGGCGTCAAACGATCGACGCTCGACTCGAGTAGCAGCAGCGCAACGCACGAGAATCGGCTGAATATAATATTTCAAGTGTCGCGCGACGCCTTTATTCCCACTACACTAACGTGGGCAACCGAAATCGGGAATATCTCGAGTATAAGCTACGAAAGGAACGGAAGCCATTTTCAATCAATTCGTATCTAAAAATATGCATTTGCGGCGGTGGCGGCGTCGTCGAGCGAGTGTCAGTAGCAGTGGTGTTGGTAGACAGCGACGTACACTAATACGTACTTGTAACGTGCATATATAGAATACCAAAGGCTTTCTCTCTCTCTCTCTCTGTCTGTTTCGTTGTTGGAATAAATACTTGGCGCTCACACATGCACAGCAACTTGCCATATAATAATAACACACACACACACAGAGTAGTAAGGCTTTGGAAGGCGGTGCGAGCAACGAGCGGTATCATTGACCTATGCGTAGTGCCGTAGCGAGCTGTGCATGTGCAGCGCTATATAACTATACGCGTGTTTATATGCGTACACACGGTGCACTGCACCTAATTCTAAAGCCCTTGCCACTACTTGCCTGCAGTATAGCTGTTATATTCGTCAGCCGCGGCGCTACATCATCCCATAAGCCGTTCTATAACTATACCAACTAACTCGTGTGTGTGTGGATATTAGAGTAGAGAGAATAAATACGTCACGCGCGTTGCACTGCAGCTACAGTACTTGAACGATGTTTTGTTTGCAAAGCGCCACGGCTGGCGACTCGGCAAATTTAACTCTTAATGTCTTTAATTGATTCTCGGACGCTTATTTATTTCTTACTTTGGCTCTAATTGCTCATTTATTCGACGAATAATCGCCCTTCCCGATTCCGTGAGCGATGTGATGATTTTACAAGCTGGAATCCAATTTTTGCTCTCGACGCCTGCGTAACGCGACGACACGTGCTTCCGGCGATCGATCGATATCGGTGCCGCTCGGTGCCAAATACAAAACTCAAATCGCTCCATTACGCGTAACGATGATCGCAGGCATTTTCATGCCCAATTTGAACGCTCGAGCGAGCAGGTAGCGCGAACAATTAGCTCGTACACACGAGTGCAACTTAATAATGAAACTCTTGGCCGTGAACGCGTGCATAGACGCGCGCACGCAAAAGTCAAAGAAAAAGGCCGCGAGTACCGATCAAATCGTTTTGCGCGCAAATTTTGAAAATGTTCTCGTTCTTACGTGTATCAGTACTTACGGATGAGGGGGTGGCGCGTGAAAGGCCAGAGCGGCCGCGGCCGCGGCGTGATGCTCCCATGCGGCGGCTGCGGCGGCGGCGGCCGCTGCCGACTGGTGGTGACTGTGAAAGGCCGAGGGCGAGACCGGATGGTGCGGATGGTGCGTGTGATAGGTCGAGTGGAAGGCCGAGTGCGGATGGGCTAGATGATGCGGTGGCGGCGGCGGCAGCAGCGAGAAGGCCTCCGGGTGGTACGCCACTTCTTTCTCCGGCATTATAAATGACGTTTGCCCGCCGAGCCACACTTTTCTCCTACCGAGCACTGCACTTTTAATCTGATACGCGATCCGAATCGAGTCGATCAGTTTCTTTTCTTGTCACTCGAACAACGTCTTCTCGTTTTTTCTTTTTTTTTATCTCACTACACACCGACTCGATGTAACAACTCGAAACAACAACAACAACAACAACAAAATAACACACTAGGACTCGAGACTCGCTGCGGATGATCCGATATCGTAATAACGATTTGACAGTCGGGCTTGACGTTTGACTGGATATAGTTAAAGGTCAGCTCGACAGGCTCATGTCGGTGGTTATCAGCTGCCAGGCTGCGCGTATCCCTTCAACGAAACGATAACGACACCTGATTGGAGCGGCGTTCGTTCGGCTTGGCGCATATTGGCATCGGTGTCGGACGACCGGCAAAGTCGCGTCACTTTGGTCGCTGCAACATCATTTGCAAACTGGCACCAGCATCATCACCCGCGCACACCGAGCACACATATTATACTTTGTCGAGAGCACCTGTATTAAATAATAATAATACGTTCACATCGAGCAAAAAAGAGAGCCAAGTTATAGGAACAGGGAGAGTGACGGACTACAGCTGCTGCTGCTTTCATATACGGCCTGTGTTTATGTTCTATATATGCGTGGTAAAATAAGCCTGTGTATAACGTTCGTGCGTGGCATGTATGGAGAAACTAAACGATCAGCGATATCTTGTGGCGCGCTATAGCGGCGGCTGCTCTCGTCATGCTCTCCGAGCTCTCCGGAGCAAAGCGTCTGAAGGGGGGTTGGCGTGTTCTTTCTCCCTCCCACTTTTACGAATCAGTATGAATTTTTCGCTCTCTCTCTTTCTCTCTTTCTCTCTCTCTTTCGCTCGATCTTTTTCTTTTCTCATTCCTGCTTCTTTTTTTTCTTCTCTATATACACACACGCACGCACGAGACCAGTATACAGATATATAAGTCTCGTTAGCGAACGCGCGGAGCGACAAAATTGATACATTTACTCCAATATTCTGCCAGAGTCAAAATGTGTATACATAGCGATTCAGCTGGTGCAACAGAGGCCAATAGTCTAGGCGTGCATGTGCACATGCTACGAGGGAATTACCGAAGAACGAAATTTCAAAATGAAAATAATACCGAGTGGGGGAACAAAAGATGGCCAAATGGAGGGGATGAATTACTCTTAGTTGGATCGTCGTCGTCTGGGTGCGGAAGTCGCGGAATTGGAAGTAGCTAAATAAAGATGGAAAGAGAGAGAGAGAGAGAGAGAGAGAGAGACGGAGATGGACTGAGAGTGCAGAGGCAAAAAAGCAAAGGAAAGGGAAGGGAGGGAGGGAGGAAGGGAGAGAGAGAGAGAAACAGAGGCAGACAGCTATGGTGCGAGGATAGCTCGAGCGCGTTAGCGCTGACGACAACTCAACCAACATTAATTGAGACAGAACGAAAGATAAAGAAAACACGAATCAGCTTGAGAAAACATCTTTTGCTCATCTTTCAATAAATTCCTTCGGACCTCGAATTTTATATATTATGCCACTTTCTCGCACGCACAAGCGAGACCCTTACCGTCTTAATTCCACTGCTTCCCTCTCTCTTTCTCTCTTCATAATGTGCTAATAAACGTGAATGTAATTTCGCAAAAAATTCAGTCCAAGGAATTGTTTATTTTTTCTTCACTCATTTGTGTGCCTGCTACCGAATTGAAAAATACCGACGCTTACCGATCGAATCATCAATTTATCCACAAATATTGAGCATTTTTAAACGCTCGCCTGGACATGCAATAATTAAAGCATTTTACGCTCATAATCCTTAAGCAAGAGTAACTGTTTTCGCTCTCGAGCAGTTAACAGCTCAAATCAGCGTTAATTGTGCAAATTAGAGTCAACAAATTACCTTAAACATATGTGACTTGTTTCTCTAAGGGATTGCGTTTGACTTGCCAAACTTCCCTATTAGAATAAATTAAAATAACCTTGAATGTAATTTTTCCCCTTTAATTTGATAATGCAATATGCATAAATTAAACAATTATTCTGATTGAATTTATCCCACGAATCTTTACTTGAATATCATTGCTTTACCATGTTATAAACCTTGATACATTTACCTTGAATATAGTTTTAAAAAAATTTGACATCTCCACGTTTCAAATTGTTTTTTTTTCGCTTCAGAAAATAAATTTTTAAGAGTCCCCAGAAAAAAGATTTATTCAAAAATTGATGCATTGTAAGCAATGAAAAAACTCACTGCATTTTTAATTTAAAATGAGAATTAGTTGTATTAGAGTAGAAATCTTGTAGAAATAGTTTTAATACTTTTAATTCAAGCAAGCCCTTACGTATAATTTATTTTTTACTATGCACTTTACATATATATTCAACGAGCTGCAATAGAAATTACTTGAAGAAATCTCATTCAGGAGCTTTAAGCCCCATCTAGTTGTATCATTACGAACCCAAGAAGTTGCCGATTTATCCGCAGTCTCTGTAAGTCTCTCATGTCATTTTATGCTTTTTCGCTTTCTTTCAGTGATTTCAAATAAATCCTGCTCACTACGACTTATGAAACGGTATAATTTTATTTAATAAAAAAATATGTTCAGTATAAGCTCACAAGTATTATAATATTATATTAAACTATAGAAAGCTGTGCTATTCCGATAGAACATCGAGTTTTACTTTCAAAGTTGCTGTGGCAAATATGAACTTTTTATGATTTATCAGGTTGGGTGCTTCAATAATAAATAATACAAATTTTAGTTTATTTGATGATGATAAAATTTTATTTATAATACAATTGCCAATTATAAATATTTTACAAGTATTATTAGTGATTGAAAATAATCTGCTTTCGCAGATACATAATATGTTTCTGCATTACACTGAAAAAACATATTTATTATTTAAAAATGTATAAAAGTATAGAAATGACTAAATAAATGTTGTATTTTAGTACAACCACCTAAATAATATAGTTGTAAACTCATTAACCATTGTTAACAAATGTATTTTCGATTAAATACTGAAATATTACTCATTTCTTAAAAACTCTTCATTCACAAAAACAATTTACTTAAAAGTTTTACAAGAACTAAGTTTACATAAATAAAAACTTACCCCCAAAGTAAGAAACTACGTAATATTTTGATACGCGACCGTTTGAATATTATTACTCTTTAAATCAAGCGACATGGCACACATGTACAAAATTACATCTACTGTTAAATATTTTACCATCAAATTTTCATTTAAAGTAACAAACTAATAATGAATTTAACAGATGAATGACGATGATTCGAATGATTAAAATGAAGATGAGAGTATCAAACAATTATGATAATAATATTAATAGTAGTGTAGTAGTAATAATATTAACGATATAAACTTATACTTTAATGATAATAAAAATAATCATAACAATAACAATAGTAAGTTCTAAAATTTTAAAACTATATTTTTACAAATAACAGGTTATCAGTTTGATTGAAATTAACGGTTTTTTGTTAGAAGAAGAAGATATTCTTTTCGTACTTCATTGGCAGTTTTTGGCACGGTGCATTGGATTTATTTTTCCGACCATTCCATCGAAAAATTCACGCTTCATAATGCTCGGCGTAATACTAAAACGTTTTAGTATTTTTATGACTGAGGCGTTTTTTTTTTAAATTTACACTGTCCATCAATGCTCATGGGCAATCGTGTAAAAATTTACGCAAATTTATCACATTCGTAGTTCGAAAAATTATCGATTTTCAATGTAGTATTTCGATGTAATCTAAGCGTAATGATTTCCACGTGTGTACTAATCATTTTTGTTTTTTTTCCTTTAGCGCTAATCAATTTGGTACAGAAATAGATCAACTTTTTCTGTGGCTAAATCGTTTTACTTTTTTTGTATAAAAACTAAAACAAATTAATAGCATTTTGAGGCAAAATTACATATCGTTGAATTCAATACAATTGAAATATGTAATGCCGAAGTATTAAAGTAATCTATAACAAATTATAACAATGTTTATTGTGCTCTTGACTCTCATAAGGAATCAAAATTCGATTCTCTACCGATGCTCCCCTGCAACAAATAAAATGAAGTTGTAAATATATCCATCGAACTCAAGCTATCGATCAATGAAATCAATAGGAGAGAAAAAATTACCCGATCTTGATTGTATAATGGTAAATGTTGTACTGGGAGCCTCAGTGTGCTGCCAACGTCTCTCTCCGCCATCGTGTGACCTTCGCTCGCACTGTCTCGACCGTCTTTATTGCAGCACTTGTGATCGGCCAATTTCGTCGACGGTTGGACCGTCGTTTCTCCGCAAGATCTCGCCAAAGTCGAGCCGCTCTCGATATTGTCGAACTGCAGCATTTGCTTCGTCGACGGTTTGATCGTCGATTCCAAATCCAGCCTGTGAGTATTTTTTGCCGATGGTTCGGTCATTTCGTCGCACGACCTCGTCGCTGTGGAGTCTGCGTCCATAGGTCGGCTAACGGTGGCCGATACCTGCAATTTTCACACAAAAAACAAAGTCAACTCCCTTTTCACGATTTATACCATTGAAATTCATCAACGTGTCGATGCCTACCTGAAAGCCAGCACTGATCAATGCTCCGCTCGATGGAAAGTTATCGTATGACTTTGCTATGGCATCAAAGTCCTTTCGAGTATCTTTAGGCGGATTGGGCTTTTGACTGATGCTACTTTCAAGATGATCCATTAACTTTTTTTCCTCCGCCGAAAAAGTACTCATGAATTTGTAGTTGGCCGCCGTTGCCATGGGTTGCATAACCGAGCGATACTTGGCGCGTGGAATGATCACTGGAAAGGGTTTATTTCGTTGATTTTTGGTTGCACACGGGGTATTCCTCAATCCTGTCGAACAAAAACATTACTAGATTAAAAATATCTTGGACTCGGTCCGTCGAAAAATTAATCAAAGCGCAATTCTAACCATGATATTTTGTACCTGGTGGAGCTATCGATATCGATCTTCTCGAAGTTCTGTAAACCTCTCCGGCCATTCTTTTATTCGGTTGCATCTGCACCGGAGGAGCGGGAGCCAACATCTGCGGAGGTGGCGGCAAAATGTGCGGCAAGTGATGCGGAATCGCTAGTTCGGTCACGCTTCCCTCGCTGTTGGTGTCGCAACCTCCACCCGCGTTCTTGATTATCGCTCGTCTGTCGGTCGACGAAGGATTCGAATTTCTGACGCACGTGACACCCACGCATATCGCCAAGAAGCTCAATAGGGTCACGCCCGTAGTGATGAGAACTATCAGGAGAACTATATAATCGATTTAAAATATATCAACGTTACTAATTCGATTAGGTGCGCTGCGTAATAATCATTTCGTCCAAGTACCTTTCAAATTGATTTGGCATTTTTGGCCACTGTACCAGGCGAAGCATTCGCAGACCTCGTGGCCGTAATTATTTTTCACGCACATTCCCTTGTTGTTACAGGCAGTACAGCCGAGTGGAGCTTGAGAACATATTCTGCCGGGGAAGGCGGAATTTTCCGACAAATCGGCGAAGCCTTCTTTGCACGAGCATTGATACGTTCCTTTCAGATTGAAGCAGGCCGAATTTTGAGAACAATCGTGATGCAGTCCATTGGGTGCTTGACATTCGTCAAAATCGATCGCTTCGATCTGTCCAGATGAACAGATTTCAATAATTTAATTTGCAATACAAAATAAAACCGAGACAGTACACTGCAAATATTTACCATCGACAAGTCTTTGGCAGCTATGACATCGGTACCACCCAAACTATATTTATTGATGATTAAATATTTACGGATGACGTCGACCAGCGTAGACTCGTTCGTGTTGGAACTGAATTGCACGTTGAACGAAACTCTCATTGGGTTGGTCAGTACTCGGGAAATACTGAGGCTTCTGTAAATGTCGCGCAAGTCGCTCTGCATCATGGTGCGGTCCAGAGCCTCCTTCACCATTCCGGTAAATCGTTTGGAGCTCAGAGACGTGGTGTCGTTGACTCTCGCGTCGTACAACGATCCATCTTTGCCGACTTTGTCCAGAGCGATGGTCAGGGTAAACGTGTACGTAGCTGGACGAAAATTGAGACGATTAAAAAATCGAATATTCACTCGAGAGAATCGACTCGAGCTCGACTGCGATTGACTTACGTTTACAAGGTCGATCGGGGAACATCCGACCGAAGCCGGGTCTGCAAACGCAACGCATTTCACCCTCGAATTCGGCGCAGATCTCGAATTTCGAGCTTCGACATTCTGTAGCGCATTGAATGTTGGGCGGTCGTATCGATACCGATGGGATTCCTAAGACGCCACCAGCCAGAACGCGGTGAATTTCCGTTCCCATGGTATCTTGCTCGTCTCTGGAAATTTCCTCCTCACCGTACTCAGCTTCAACCTGTAATTTATTTTTTTTACATCAGTTGTTTTTTGTTTCTCTTCGTTTGAAAAATGTTATCGCTCTTGAATTTCGTTACCTCGTCCCCTCCGAGCGGAGGAGGATTCTGATCGCTCATCACCACGAAAATGGACTCGTGGTCGTGGTCGCGTTCATAATTTGGAACGTGATCGATTACGGAATGAAGAACCGTAGAAGTAATGGTTTTCGATACGACGCTCGTTGGACGCAAATATGTTTCTGTGACAGTTTCCACGCTCGTCGACGTTAAAGTGTGAGTGAGTAGCAAAGTTCTCGTGTTGACTTTCGAACTGACTATCGCAGTTCTCGTTCGAGTTATCGTCGTCACTTCGACGTGAGTCACCTGCGAAGTAGTGAAAATTTGGGTAACAAATCAATTCGTTCATCAATTAATTTACAGCTAAGAACGTTTGTACATTCACATCTTACCTCTTCCGTTCCAATTAATGTGTCTTCGTCTTTTGGGGCCATAACGACGTCGTGAGTAGTTGTCACCAAGCTTTTTCTTATTGACGATTTAGGTTTCGCAGCCAATAAAATTGTCGGGGCTTTCTCTTCTGATTTTACCATGTCATTAGTTTGAACGTTAGACGTTGTACTCGACGATGGAGAGCTAGTTACAGCGATCGTAGACGTTGAAGTGTTGTGATTATTACTGAATCTATGGCTATTTAATGTTTCAGTGGGCTCGACAGTGGAATGCGGCAAATAAATGTCTGCACTTGGTTCTAGATACGTTGTAAAATCTGGTGGCTTATTGTTTGGCTTTCTCAAAATTTTCGATGGCGCCATTGCGATGGTCACCGTATTGGTTGCGTTTTCTTTTATCTTCGTGGGTCCAGAATTTGTCACGACCTTATTTGAATAAGTTTTCAATGGAATTCTGAAAAATATTGTAGATTCAGAATGCTGATGTTCAAAAAACAAAAATCATATTGAGAATAAAAATGTTTACCTTCTCCTTGTTTCAAATGGTCGAACTGAATAAACGCTAACGTAGCTGGATTTCCTTGTTGTTTCGGATTTCAAGAATGGTGGTACATTCATTATTCTTGGCAGATCAACTGTTCCATGTACAATGGGAATTTTGGATTCCATATCTTGAATAACGGGTATTTGAGATTTTGCAACTGCTGTGGCTATTTGAATAGAGCCTGACATAGCAAAGTTCGGATGAACGGACGATATCTCTTGAGTGCGCGTTGGCTTGACTGTTATAATTGGAATATTCATCGGAGCCTAAACATAAAATCATTTATATAAATACATATCGTTAATTTTTAACATACACTTACGTGTAATTTATCATTACTTAAATATTTACCTTTGTATTATAATTTTTAACAGTACTCGAAGTTGGTGGAATCATATTTGTATCCGGTGGTAGCGGAATCGTTTTGGTTTCTTTTGGACTTGGCCGCTGAGGAGGTGGTGGTCTCATACCTGAAACGTCGGTGTATTTTCTCAGCGCCTGAGTTTTATTGAGAGAAGCACTTGTCGTTAATTTGTCCATCGGTGGTGGCGTTAAGCCAAGAACTTCTGTCAATGTTGTGGGTGGTTTCAAGTCATGCGTCATCTGTAGATTTATGGTCGGTTCTGGTGGTTTAGGGGGTGAAACGAATTGAGAAACGTATTGTAGCTTTGGAGTTGATTTTTTGGTTTCCGAGTTCAATTGCGATGTATCCTTATTTGGTTGCATGAAATTAGTTTGGTAAGCCGTCGACAGCAATTCACTTTTATTTTTTTGGACTTTCGAATCCATAATTCCAATTGGTGGACTTTCCGTTTGGGAATGACTTTCTTTCTCGTGGCTATTCGAATCAATAGGTAGAGAAAATTGAATATTTGGCCGCTTTGGACCATCATGCTTATTCCAATTTGTGTTAACAACTTGATCTACGAATAGTAAAGAAATAATGTTTTTAAATCGTTTACAAATGACTAGAAATGAAGAGATTGAATAATTACCTCTGTGGTCACTGCTCAGTGGTATATGCTGTACTTGATGACCTTGTTGTGTATTTTGGTTTGATAATACACTAGTGTAATTAGACAATAAATTATTTTTGCGCGTATTTAGAGAATTATATTTGACTTCGGGGTTTATATCCGGTGGTTTCATGTCAATTGGTGCTTGAGCATACGTTTTTTTAGCTGTATTATTGACTCGACTCACAATCCCAAAGTTGGAGTTGTACTTTTCTTTCTCACTAGGTATTTTGTGTTCGCTCAAACGTACGTTTCCGGTACCAACATGAATATCGCCGAGCTTGGAAAGGTCAGCGTTCGGTTTCATAATGAATGGCTTTATTATATTATTCCGGTGTGGACTTGTAGTTATGACTCTATTATCGGATGCATCAGTTTCCGAATCAAGTGGTCTGTTGGCTTGTTGTAAATTACTCGTGTTGATGTCGTTTGAGATGCGCAATGAAAATTGCTTGTAATCGTGCGGACCGCTATGAACGTGACCTTCCCTGTCAAGCAGATTATGATGATCGTGTTGCATGTAATTCTGATTATTTTGTTGATATGAATTTCCCTCTGCCATATGGACCTGAAACAACGTTTAATAAAATTTTTTCCTATGATTTTTTATATTTAAACTGTGAATGCCCAACTGACAAATTAATGTACCTGATGTGAATTAATAGCTGAGGATAAATGATAATTATCATTCAAGTGAGGAGCAGTGTTATAAGATATTGTTTGATTTATTTTTGGCCCTCGATTACTGTAATGTGTTGCTGGAGCAGTTTGTTTATTCAATATCGGTAATCTCGAAGGCCTGTAAAGCGGACGGACCGTCATTTTATGCGGATATTGATGCCCACTCATTGCAGGTCGTGTCCATCTTGGCAACGAGTATTTCACTTTTTTACTGTAAACATCACCAATAAATATATTTGTTGATTTAATTTGAAATCAAATACAGCACAGGATTAGGATACTTACACTTCGTTTCTTCTATGTGGCGTGGGCGGTGGTATAAGATGCAATTTCGTTTGGTCTTTTCTCGTTGAGTAGTAATCAAAATTGTCATTGGCAACTTGTGAGGGTTTCGACAGACTTTCAGGGTACTTTACCACAACTTGATCTTGTGCTGTCTGGTGGTAGTGATCTTGCTGATCAGCTGTATTGTAGGTATCTTTTCGCTGACCAGAAAATGATCCAACGCCGATACTCGCGTGGCCAATTGGTTCTCGTGATATAGAGGCCTCTTGATTCAAATGATGCTTTGCAGGGGGATTGACTTTGCCGCTGTCTTTGATCTGAAAAATGGTATTGCATTTGTACTTGCTATTCGTTGAAGATAACACCTTACAAAAATGTTTTAACAAGTGATTCTTTACCAGACTATAATTTGTTCCATCCTCGGAATCAGGATAAGGTGAAGGATCGTCAAAATATTGCCCTGATATATGCGGTTCATTGGTGTCGCCGAATATGAGGGCTTGAGTACCTTTAGGAGGTATGATGACATTTGCTATTTGACTTGGCTGGATGTTAACTAGCAAAGGCTGACCAGTTGCCCTGTCTATAACGTGCGGAACTTGATGCACGATCGGTTCAGAGCCATGCAATTTGGCTGCATTATTATAACTATTATCAATCGTATAATTCGACACACCTATGACCTTCTCGACTCGTGATATTGTCGGTCGGATTTCTTCATTTTTCATCGAAACTCCCATCGAGTTTTGATAATTCCAGGGTCGGTTACTTTTTTTCGCGTCATTGTTTACGTTTTTATTATATTTTATCGCGGGTGGTAACAACAATGGATCGTTTTCCAGGATTTCGTCCGATAAACTGTTCTTTTTGTACAGAGAATATTTATTAGGATTTTCACTATATTCACCATGTGGTTTTACGTTGTGCAACGAAATATGTTCCTCGTATACTTGTTGCGCTGGTAAAATTTCCAATTGTTCTGCAACTCTGTGGGGTTTCAATTTCTTCTTAGTGACATCTTCGGAAACTTCCAAAACTGAATGTAGTTGCAAGTTTGAATATGGCGTTGATGGGGGTGAAATATTAGCAATATTAGCCGTATGTCCTGAATTAACATTTTGAGGGGGTCTGGGTCCCATTATACCCGGTCTACCAATGATTATATCGCTATTAGTCGTAATGACTTCACCTGGTGATATTGGTATTCCATCGACTAAACTTGACGAAGTTAATTTATGTCTGGTTTCAGGTATATGATGACTGTTGGCTGTATGGACTGAAAATTAAGTGACGATCGTTTTTCCAAAAATTTTAACAATAAAAAGCCAATTGTTGGTTGGATTAATTACCTATCGATTGACTTTCGGCAGTTTCGGAATCACCATCGACAAACTCAGCCACTGGTATATAAATCGGTGATCTCTGCGTCGTGGTGTGCATTGCTTCGGTTACACTTTCTGAATCATTTCGACGAGCTGCAGACTTTTTACCTTGAAGGAGGCCAGCCATAGCCGTGATCATTGGCCCCAGTGCTGATAAACTATTGATACCTAAAGATCCTAAATTTAACAAATTGCTTACCTGCAACGGTTTTTTATTTTCTGAGACATTTACTGATCCTTCGGTATCATTATCCTGCTATTGATACGTTATAAAAACTTAATTTGATCAAATTCAACGTATTTGCTCATAAAAATAACTCAATAAACCATACCTCAGATTGTGAATCTTCAGCATTATTTAATTGAAAGTTGACGTCATTAGATTCAGTTTCTGTGGAATCTAATTGCATTTGATCTGAGTTATTCTCATTTTCTTGCTGAGCATTATTACTGTTATTATACAACGTTTCTGTAGCATGGTTTTCGTAAGAAGAAGACGATGATACCTTAGGTAAATCATCATATAAACTTGAATTAATAGACTCTGCGTCAAGATTATCCGTAATTTGATGTAATACTGAACGAGATGGAATCGTAGTAATGCTTTCAATATCTTCGGTAGCCTTAAATAAAATAAAACGATGTCAACTATTGACTAATTAAAATTATTAATAAAAATTTACCCAAGTAACTCGATTTGAAAGAAACAAAAAAATTGCATATTTATACTCGCGCTGAAAATAGTACCTGATAACGAGTAAAATTTTTTTAATACCTGTATAACCAAATTACTCGTTAAATTTGCTTTGGTCATACTGTCCAACACGTTGGTTGATTCTAAATTTTTCGTACTCGGGTAAGAGGTACTTTCGACTTGTTGAGCTTCCGAAGATTCGAGCAGCATATCGATGTAAAAATGAGGCGCAGTGACAGTATTTGTAATAACTTTTATGCTGCTCTGCGGATCGACCTCGCTAGGGTGTTCCGGATTCAGCGTCAAGTAAGTGTAGGTTGTTTGAAAGACTTCGGTACGTAAGGTCGGCGATGCTTTTAATGTGAGCGAAGCTGATTCAGCGATCGGGGTCCTATGTCTCTGTTCCGTTGCCGTATTAGACACAACCTATATGCAAATGTAAAAAAAAAGAGGAAAACAGAAAGTAACGAATTTTAATTCATCGATGGTGAGCGTCAATTGTTAGAGAAACAACGTCTGTCGAAATACCTGTTGATCGGTCGATATGATCGTCATTCCATCGCGCGTGATGGTGTTCAAGTAAGTAAAAGTCGTTGTGCATGTTTTCGTAACAAATTCATTAGGCTTATTGTGTGGCAGAAGCATGACTACCGCTTCCGATAGAGTCAGTGTCGGCTGTGCATTTGCATTCTCCCATCGGTAGGCTGGTGTGGTACCGGCAATGATAACGTTTACCCCATTGGACATGACTCTCGTCGCAAGATTAAATCTTCGACCTTCGTCGCTTTCCTCTGCCTCTTCTTTCTGCCTTGGTTCTACATTATATATGCATACGTTTTTTTAATTTTCTTTTCCCGTCCAGATCGGATCTTTTTAATAAGAAAAGCTTTACTTTTCTGCCCAGCACAAAAGAGACTAATTAGAGAGTACTAGAAGAAATTTTTTAATACATTCTCTGCTCGAGTAAACACTTTGGATGCATGAAATAACTGAATCGTTAAGAGTTATACTGTTTTTTTCATACATTATCCGTTGAAAAAAACATTTATTTTTCACAGCAGTTTCATTAATACAGTCTATGAACTTTGAGCGATATGATTAGGTGATTATTGTCTTATTTTTGAAATTTCCATAAATAATGATATATTGTCTGCCGAGTTGACCTATTAAATCAGAGCTCGAACTCGAACACGTGTGAATGTCATACGCCGGCAAACGCGTAATATTTTTCATAATAACGTGGGAAAAATGCATAACAAAGCCTAATTAAAACGTAGCATCAATGAAACCTGTAGAGTCGCTACTTTTATCATAATTACTATAACGCGTTCAAAAAAAAATTTCCTCTACTCTAACTTATATTGCATAATCAAGCAGTTGAAATACCTTTTTCCCACCGTAGGTGTTGTAAAGAAAGTTGTAGTTCAATAAAATCACATGCATTTTTACCGTAAAACAAATTTATTTATTGATTACATAATAAAAAATAGATTTCTCCATGATTATAAGATGATTCTTTTCATATACGAAAGTTATATTTATGTAGACTGCTTGCAGATAAATGATTCGTGTAGAAAATACAAAGTATTGCATTTTTACTCGAGTAGATAATTACAAATATACAATATATTTTTTCTAATTTATCAAGTGTTAGTCGGAAAATTATGTTTAAGAGTTTTGTACATTAGATTGCGTATAAACTAAAATTTTAACTATTTACATGACAAATGTTCATGTATGTACATTCTTCAAAAATTCATATTTTTACAAATTTACATACACTTTTAGAGGCAAAAAGAATTGGATATATTGGTGTTCATAGGTGAGAAATAGAAGAAATACTTACTGCATAAAAAATTATAAGTTGTACAAGCCACGGTCAAAGTCTTTGTCAGTTAAAAAAATTGGGCCAACTTAAATACGTCATTTCAATCCTACTATTTATAGATGATACTTCGAATCTAATTCCTTCTTATGTACACGGTTTTTTAATGTTTTCTTTCTAAATGTTGATGACGGAAGCTATAAGGTCAATTTTTAAAATATGATTTTTCATCTACGTTGTTTTTCTGTAAAAGTAAACTGTTCGTCGTGAAAATTCTTTTATATTTAAACGTCAAATAATGCATTTTAAATTTGTTGAATCTTAAATAATTTCAGTCAGAACATGTGTCTAATTTTCAGATATTTAAAAGCATCTTGATTAATACTAATCATAATAGTCAAAGCAGTCATACATTTTGCATTATTTTAATTAATAACCTTAAAAATGTTGGTCTTTTCTAGTTGCTTTTTAAACTGTCTTCGAAATGAGTATCTTCATTTTTCATGTAGTTAGTATTATTAGCTGAAGTAACAGAATATTTTATTTCGTATTTCATTCAATCGTATATAAAAACTATATTCTATCATTAAGACTAGTAAATTTAATACTAGCTAATACACTATAAAGAAGCAAATAAAGACAATTCATTTTTAAATCAAGAAATTTAAAAAAAAACGTTAAGCTCATCTATTAAAAATCAAACTATAACTTATACATCTTTTTCACGGTTGAGCCAATATTGTAGTAATTTTAATGCTTAATAACTTATTTAACAATTGTCTTATTTTATATACATGTATGCCTCTTGATAAATTAAAAATGAGTAAAAATAAAATAATCGGTACAAAATTAAAACGACAAATATGAATAGCCCATTGAGAATAATTTTAAGTTCTGATGGACGTAGAAATGTGCCGTCCAACATTGCCCACGACGCTTTCAAGACTTTGAGTGGGCTTATGAACGTGGAAAAGTTCTTCGCTTCCCGATAAATCTGTCGGCTGTTGTAGCAGCGATGCAGTAGACAACCCCATGTCGACCGCGTAATCTACGTCTCTTTTTATTTTGGTACTAGACTGGTCATCGATTTTCACCGTACTTAGAACAGTACTGAACTCGCCCGGTCTACGACCTGAAACGTACAATGTTACAACGCTCGAGTCTGCCAATTCTCGCTCGTTCAATTTAATGGAATTAGCATTTTCAATTTTCAACGAAGAGCGCTCGACGTCATCGGTACCTAAATCCTCGTAACTGTCAGATTTATAATCTAAGTCCACTGGTTGATTTCTTCTCTCGGTTTCTCCGGGCAGTGTGTTGCTGTGAGTGAGCGACGGGGCCACAGAGAAGAGCGGATCTAGCAAGGAATTCGAGAGCGGATTCACGAGCGGATTTGCGAGCGGATTTTGCGGCTGCTTCAAGAGCAGCAGCAGAGAGTTGAGATTTGCCGCTGCCGGCAAGACTGCGGTGGGAGTGACGACAACTGTGTCCGTGATGAATTCCGTGGCCGTAACGACGTCGGTCGTTGAGTCAACGAGAGTCGTCAAAATTTCTTTCCCGCGGAACGTCAGCGGAATGACGGTGCTCTGATGCTTTGTAATCGTGGTCACGTAGGTCGTCGCTCGGGTCTCGAATTTCGTCGTTGGTGTTGCTGCCACTGCCGGTGCGCTAGTAACCAACGGGGTTTGTCCCAACTGACCGAGCAGCAGTTGCGATAAGAGTATGTTCGCCAGGGGCACATTGTCGATCAGAGATGGTCGAATCGTGGAGACGACATTTTCAACCGAGTATATGGTTGAAGGAACCACCACTGGTTGAGAAAATCTGCGACCTCCGGCTGAAGTCAAGGTGTGAGACACTTTGGTCGTCGGAGTTTCGTGTATTACGAACTTGGTAATTTCAGTTTGTCCTTGGAAGTTGGTTGCTGTATTTTCGGTGGCTAATACCAGGACATCTTGGCCCTTGCTGTTCATGCTCGTCATGTACTGCTCGGGTCCGATTACTGCCGTACTGGGTGCCGCTGTTATGATGTTTCGTTTTTCCGTCACACCATTATTAACGACTGGTATGGTAACTTCGGTGGGCACGTAATGAGTAACGGTGATGGTTCCATCGAAATCGTTGTAATCGCGATAATCCTCTTTGACCTGCATTCTTCCCCGAACCGAGGTCACGCGGCGATTGTTGTTTCTCGAGCCATTCCTTGAGGTGGTTCGCGAAGGGCTACGTCGCATACTGTTGACGTCTTGGTATCTATTTGAGGTCACTCTATTTCTGGTATTGGTTCGAGATCTTACATTGGCTACCCTCGAGGGAGTTGTGGTTCTTTTGTAACTCGGTATAGCGGTATCCTTTTCGCGCAGAGTGAACTGTCTATTGGTATTGCTCACGATTGATGGCTTTATTCGAGGAGGAGAAGTTCTAGCATTTGGAGTGGGTGGTCGTCCTCTCACCATTGGTGGTAAGTCGTAATATTCCTCGGATAAATCTTCTTTGCTCAAATTAGGATTTGATCGGCTGATGGACGACGATCTACTTCGAGTACCGTAACGAGAGTTGCTGCTTTCGGGCTCGGTATCGTAAACTTCCTCCGAAGCCCAGCTAGGCCTACGACCACGTGTACCAGCCTGTCTAGTATGAATAGCCTGCCTGCGAACTCGCCTTACTCTACTTGTTCTACTGGCGAACGGTTTTATTTGTTTTATTCCTCTCGAGTTGAGCTGATCGTTTTCCTTCTGCTCCGATCCTTCGTAGTCGTTGTCGGTAATTTCTCTTACCGGTTCCTCGGGTAATTGTTCTTCCTCTTTGAACTGCTTATTTTTTCTCTCTGACTCTGTATTCGCTTCGGGTTTTCTGACGAAGAAATTGCGAGATGGCAATATACCGGCACGAGCTTTTGGCGTGCTACGTGTTGTATTCCTTTGAACTGGTGGACTGCGTGTGGTGGCAACATTTCTATTTGGAGTATTAATTCGTCTTGGGGCATTTGTTGTGGTAGTAGGTTTAGAGGTCGTTGGTCTCGTTGCAATTGTGAGTCTTCGAAATTTGACAAGAGGATTTTGTTTCCTAGCAGATTCCGTAGTTGTCTGTGCAGTAGCTGCGTTTGATTCATCTTCCGGGTTATCCTGCGCAGAATCTTTGGCATTCAAAGATTCTTCATCGTTCACGTTCTCTAGTTCTTCTTGTTTTACTGTTGCGGCTCGTGAAACCGTTGGAGATGCACGGATTCCTAATCTACTCCTTGATACGGATACAGGAAGAATAGATGATCCCCTATTGATGGAACGAATCGAGGAACCTCGAATTGGCGTAGAAGCTCGACGAGTTGAAGAATAATACGAAGATGGGGTTGTTCTAATACTACCTCTTATTTTTGACGATGCAGAAGGATAGTTAGTCGAGGCAATCGATGAAGATGGAGACGAGCTCTTTCTGCCTGAAAATCGTCTAGAATTCGACGAGTTCAACGTGCTAAATCCGGAAGAAGGCGAGCTTCTTATTTTCGAAGATGCGTAGCGACCTTTTCCTGCTGTGAGTGTAGCTGTGATTGTGGGTGTAATATCACTTCTAGTTATAGTCGTAGCTCCTTGTGGCTTTCTTTTTGGATTGAACGTTGGCCGACTTCTGGACGCAAAAGGTCTGATTGGAGGAGCACTAGATGGTTTCTTTCTCGAAACGAAAGATAATCTAGACTTTTTCTTCAATTTGTCATCGATGTCACTGTCAATTTCTTCGTGATCGGGATCATTCAATGCATCGTCCGATGCATCTTCTGATAAGGATGACTGAATAACAGCTGGCGAAGGTAATACGCCCAATACATTTGGATCGCGGCTCTTCTGGAGAGTAGCGAAATTGAGTGTAGATGTGGGCCTCAAAACTACACTGGACGAGCTTTCAATGATTTGAGCATAGCGTCCACTGATGCTGGTTCCTATAACTTTAGATTGATAATGAGTTGTCGTACCATTGATTTCGATTTGGCCTTCGATAAGTCTCACAAGCCCATCGCGATGAGGATTTGCCGGGGCGGTGTAAGTAGCCAGTTTTTCTTCATCTATCTTCGTGGAAGTAGTGCTTTCGATAAATTTGGTATACGAGTTATCGATCGTCGTTCCTATTTGTTTCGTAGTATAGAACGTTGTAGTTATGCTATCAGCATCCACAATCGAGCCTCTGTTCAATGAGATTAGTCCAATTGGGAGGCCAGGTGTAGCTGAAGAAGAATAGACAGGAGAAGGAAGCTCGATGTTCGAAGATGTTTCGAGTACCTGAGCGTAAAGACCATCCACGTAAGTTCCATAAATTTCCGTGGTATAATGCGTCGTAATACCGTCGTTAACCGTACTGTGTCGTTTCGTCGATAATAAACCAGTAGAGGGAGAGTCGACTGGGTAAGTTTCCGTGTGTAAATCATCGGTATTAAGAATTTGGGATGCGGGCGCAGCTCCACCAATAGCACGGGGAGTGGCCGTTGCTCTTACCGCCTTTTCCGCTTGAGATACGCTAGTCACAGTCTCGAGCCTACTGTTTAATAAGGTCGAATTGCCGATGTATGATGTTGTAAAGTACGTGTAAGTCGTGTATAGAGTTACTGGTTCCAGTTCAATGCTAGAAGTAAGCTCATCCATCGTCAACGTCGGCGTTTCCTCAACCGCATCGATGACAGTTTTATCACTCATTTCTGAAGTTTCTGAATGAATTTTTGATGTTTCTATTTCAGGCAGTGTGTGCAGCGGTGTTGCTAAAACGAATGGCCTGTATGTTTTTACGACATCTAGTTGAACTGCTGAACTTTCCATAAGACCGGGGGTAACGACGTTACTCACTGTCTCCTCGCGGCTAGTTGTAGCAGTATCGTCGCCTTTGATGAATGTCGTCCAGTACGTGAAGGTCGTGAAATACGTCAGCGGTGACAAAGTTTTTGTTTCTGCTGGCACTACCACGGTTGGTTTTATAGTTTCGGTTACGGTATTGGTGACGGTTTTCAAACGACTTACAACCTCAGTTGCATTACCATTGTACATCGTAGTAAAATACGTATATGTTGTGTAAGAAGTTTGCAGTAGGAGCGTCGGTGCAGGTTCTACCTCGTGATGGTTCGTTTCGGAAAGTTCTTGATCTTCGGGTAGGGACATTCTCCTCTCGGCGGTATCGAGTATAGTACTACCACCAGAGCTGAATGAGAATTTAACATCGGTTTTAGTTGAACGATTGTTTTCCTCATCGGTAACTGGCTTTTCCGTACTGTCGTCGTCGTCGCTATCATCTTCCAGAGTAGTTTCTTCGAAATCAGTATGTTCTGTTGTTTCCTCAATCATATCTTCGGTAGTTGAATCCATAGCATCTTCTACTGGCGAGTTACTAAGCGCTTTTTGCTCTCTCAAGTTTTTCAGATATGCTAATATTTCAGGAGATGGGGTTGGTTGTTGGGCAGCTGCTGCACTTTCTGTATTAGATATAATAGGCACTGAAGATGGTTCAATGGATCCTTTTACAACATTAGTATATACTTCTGTTCTAGAGTCGACTCTAGTTTCATTATCTTTCGTTATTAATGTTGTGAAATACGTGTAAGTGGTGAAATAGGTTTTTACGTCATTTTCCAACAAAGTTGATGCTTTTGAAACGGGGCTTGCTTCTAGAAGATTATTGGGATCGTCTTCTAATACAGGTGTTGTTGTTTCTATGAGTGATAAATTATCCATCGTTGTTGTTTGTTCGGATTCCGGAGAAGACAACTCTGTACTATCATCAGTTACATAGTCATAGTTTTCAGTATTGGGTTCGAAAAGGCTGGTTTTGAGTGCATCCTCGTTATTCATTTTAGTTGGTTTTATTGACAAATTTTCCGTTGATGTAGATTTTTCATACAAAGTATTATTTGGTTCAACGGTCAGAGTAACAACATTTGTAGAGGTTGCTTTTCGGCTTTTAACACCGGTTGTAGAATCGTCAAAATAAGTTGTGAAATATGTGAATGTAGTGTATATAGTTTTGAATATTAGTTGAAATTCTTCAACATCTTGTTTTTCTGTTTCTTCTTCTTTTTTTGATTCTTCTTTAAAATCTTGCGATTGAACTCTGAGTTGTATAGCAGGATCTACTGTTTCCGTAGGATTGCTATTAGTTACATCTTGCGCACTTGTTGGCAGTATAAGCTCGTTAAGATAAGTGGTTTCAGTGGCCACCACCTCTCTTGATTTAATTGAGGTTGTTACTTGTCCCTTATGGGGGATGAAAAATGTAGTGAAATGAGTGTAAGTTTTGTAAAAGGTAGATGGAATCAATCTAGTTGAAAACGAGAAGTCATTTTTTTCTTCTTGAATTTCATTTTGACCATTAGAAGTGGACCCATTAACATTTCTTGGCTGATTCTGAGGAATAATATCATTAGCGATGTCATATTCTGTCTCCGTATTTTCAAAAGAATTTTTTTCAGAGGTACTGTCAGGTAGTTCTTCATATGAATTATCTTCTTCTTGTTCTTCATCATCGGAATTAATTCTTAAATTAAAAGTTGGTGATTCTGACCGAGATGTAGGTGACAAACGTTTAATTGAAGCTAAACTTTTTAATAAAGTTTTTGAATCGGTTACTTTGATTCTGTTTGTGCCAATGGTTGGACGTGGTTTTTTATTAAATCTTAAATATAATGGCTTGGTAACAAGTTTAGTTGAACTTGTTTCAGAAGAAAATTCATTTGTACTTGGTTGCAGATCAAACATTGAATCATTTTCCTGCTCTGAGTAGCTTGGATTCTTATTATTATTATTATTATTAACATTTTCTTGGTAGGGTATATTCATTGCACGAGTCTTTTTATGAATTATAGGTGCAGTTTTTGTGGGTTTTATGTTCGAATTGACGAAGCCATCGTCTGGAAGAAAAGTAGCAGCTCCTTTGATCGTTGTAGCAGGGCGTCCAAAGCTTGCTGGAGCTGTACTAGGTGAAAAAACAATGACTGTATCGCCAACTGTTGTTGTAAAATCTGCAAATCCGTGATACGTTATTGTCATTAAATTTTTCTTTTCTTCATTTGCTATTATCGATGGTAGGATTTTCTTAGGTTCTCTTTCTGGAAGAGATTCAAGATAATCAACTTTAACAACATCTTCTGTTTCTTTAAAATTATAATCTTGCTTAACAGTATAAGTTGGCAAATTTTCTGTTTGGATTTTCGCAGGCTTAACTTGCTCCTCTTCAATTTCGGCTTTTTGAATGATAACGTTTTCCTTAACATCGTGGGTATATTCGTTAACCTTGATTTCTCGGTCATTTTTTTCCGGTTTATTAAGCTCGATTACTTGCAGCAATTTATTATTTGAATAGTGGGGTAAATTACTTTTTATTGACGGTGGAGGATAAACTATGAATGGGCTTATTTCATCTTCTTCCGGTTTACTGTCATAATATACTCTGCTCGAAGTCGATAAAATTTTAGCATACAGTCGACCATTATCTAAAGTAGTACCAACCACTTGAGTAGCATATTCTGTACTAGCTCCGTCTTGAACAAAGGTTCGAGCAGTTTTCGTTAAAACTCCCACCGGAGGAGTCGACTTACCATTATGGGCTTGTACTAACAAAACAGTTGTAACAGCTTTTTACAGCAAAATTCATTCATTCACATTTAAAATATCCATAAAAAAATTAATTTAAAAAAAAAAATTATTTTTGCAGGGTTTCCAATAATAATTTAAGGTAATAGTAGGTCGTAAGTCCGTTCGATCGTTGTCCATTATTAAATTTATTGGAATAAAAAAAGTCAGTTGAAGTGAAGAACATTCGAAGCAGATGACATCCAGTGGTTGAAAAGATTCGTAGGCAGGGAACAAACAGGAACAATTTACAGAAACAGAAAAAGAGAGATAAATATTAGTATAAGTCATAGTTTCAACCAAGAAAAATAATCATTAATAGTACATAATGCAATAAGTGCAAATGTGTTTTTTTAACGCATAAAAAACATATTTGCCCAAGTTGTATGTATTATTTTTTCTCTCGAGAGCCTAAAATTAGCGGCAACTTCTTTTTAGTTCAGAGTGCATAAAATGATTCTAAAGGTAACTGTGATGAAAAACGTGCAAGTTTTAGATTTATAACTACGTACTTATTTATACTACGTATAATGAGTATCAATCACTCAAATACTACGTTATTGAAATAATGAATCACATGCAATTTATTCAAATTCAATATCAATTTATATACAAAACTTTACAATTTCTTTAATTTTTTGAAATTAAAAGAATGCCAATTAAATAATTTTTATCAATTTATGAAAATAAATTAATTTTCCAAAAATTATCATATGTAAGCCGTGATCGTTATTCATGCCAATAATATTGAGTATATAATTCAAAATATAAGTACGAGGACTATGCTTCATAAATGTTTACATTTGATTGAAGTTTATTAAACAGTGATTTCAAAATTATTGTAAAAAATAAGTTGACTGTTACAAAGAAGCATAGTTAGGTACATTATTAGTTTTTGATCACTTTTCGTAATCTTGTAAGCATTATAAGTATCCGAATAATATATTCACACTAATTATCATACAATTCGCAGCTTAACAATTCTCAACCATGTGATAATTCTTGGAAAGATATATACTATATAGTTATACTCAGTTAATTTCAATTTTATGGAATTTACGAAAAATCGCATTTCATAATGCGAAAAGAATTTTGATTATTTCAATTTACAAAATTAATTTTGTCCTATAATGCTTCCTTTTTTACTTTTACTTTTTTCAATTTAGATTTTGAATTTATATACTCAATACAGGTTGACGTAAATTTATTTTTGTAACATTTTGGCAGAATATAAGAGGTGTACGGCATCAGAGTGAAAATGAAAATATTACACATGATCTTTTGCCATTTTTACTTGAACGAACGTTTGATTTTAGTTCTCAAAAAATGTCTAATATAAATGATATGCGATTTACAAAATGATCACTTTTACTCTGATATATATTATCATTATATGGTGTAAAAAATGTGTACATATAAGTATTAAATCATGCATGAGTTCGATCTCAAGTTTTCCGTGCTACTTTTATTTTTCAGCATAACATCTAATCCAATTATAATTTATACATAAGTAGACAAGAGTATTTATATGTATATACAACAGTTCTTATACATAATATCATATAATTCGCAAGAGAAATACTTTGTACAGGAAATTAAGAAAAAGTCGACTTACCGTTGGCATCTTTCCTAGATTCACTCGAATCGACTTTTGGGCGATATTCTGAAAAATAAAAATAATGATAATGATGATAAAATATAATAAGTAAGATAATTATCGTTGTAATATTTCTCTATGATGGAATGGTTGAGCTTGAGATTATTTGCGCATCAATCAATCCGGAAGCCGCGCGGAAAAGGTGGTCGATAATGCACTTGGCGCATTGTGCCACTTATAATTTGCTCGCTGGCAGCTACCTAGCTACGAAGGATAAATGAAAGATTGTATTTGTAGCAGGTCTGTGATTAAAAGCTGGAATTCGACAAACGGCAGGTAAGGCGCTGCTACTACCTACAGTAATACGACGAAGCGTGGCTGCCGTGCGCGAATCTGATGGTATGTCGCACAACGAGCTAAAGATCTTGTTTGTAAGACGAGAACTACAGTTACTTGACCGACTCCATAAGCCCGTTTTCTTATGTTCTTATACAAGTGCAGAAGGTTACTTGCTAGCATACTTCACATCTTCACTTGGCTGTACGTATGAATTATATTCGCGATCTAACGCGTACACACACGCGACCGAGACATTTATGGGGCATTTCGTGCGTCTGCCTTAATGCATTTTTGTATTTACTGTGGCGCATTTCAACCGAGGCTTATATAACTTTCCTTGCTTTTCAACGCGATGCACGCCGATAATTTATTATCGACTCGTGCACACTTTCGTTGGAACAGGTTCGTTCGGGCGAGGATTGCCAAAATGCAGCTCTCGACTTACGTGCGTCAACGATGGCGAGCATAAATACGGACGAGCGCGAGTTATGCATTGTGCGGATCGAAATTTCTTTGGAAAATCAAAAGTCGAAGCTATATTTAAGCGAATGTGATCGAAGGAGCGCTGCCCGAGTGGCGAGGAAAAATATCCCGACCAGTGATTACAAAGCTTTCTCTCACGCATGGACACAAGAGGATGCTAAAATGAGCACAAATTCTGAATAAGTTTATGCATGTCACATGATTTCTCGACTCAATAGAATATTTCCTATTTTCTTACTTCCATACTTCATTTTTAGGCTACTCGAGTTATTTTTTTTTTCTCAAGTACTTTTTTTGTCTTTTGGTATATTATGTTAATCAGCAACTTTCTGCGCGTATGATTTCTAAAAACAAAGATTACATGAGGGAACTTGATAAAATACTCGAAAAGTCGGGCACTTAAAATATGTTGACACCTGTTGCGCATCGATACTGTCGTAAAGAAACGATGACGTTCTCGAAGAATCTCGTTTATTGCTGTTTAGCTGCTCGGATAAAATGCAATAAAATTAAGCAAGTGCCACTACGTTACCGGAATAACAAGTGGCTAAAAAATTTAAGGAAAAAATATCGCTGGACATGCCATTCCACGAGTCGATTCTATTTTTGAATTTTTCATTCATTGAATTATTATGTAAATAAATACAAAGAATGCATCAATCTTGATCGATATTTTTCATTACGATAAAAGTTGAAAATAAATCAATGGGGCTTTGAGCAAATTAATACGAATCAATCGAGTACTTTGCACACACCTTTAATAATCTGATAAAGTCACGCATCTTATTAATAACAATATATCGGTACTTTCAAGGCAGGCTCAGTTTTGCATTTGTGCAACACCTGCAGCAGCCCCAAGGTTATTATTCAATCCATGTGTACCTTCATTATAGTTAATTCGAAGCGCGAGGAGCGCGAGAGATTGTTTATAAATAAAAGAGCCGCGGAGCTATTTGTGAAAAATTTAGCGCAGCAGGACTATGAAGCTATTTAGAGTCGCGGACGGAGAGAAAAATATTCGCTCGAGACGAGTGAGTGTGTGTGTAGGTAGCTGTATAGAGCTGCATTTAGCGAGCGTAAAATAAAATTGAAAATGTTTCGAGAGAGCAGGAGGAGAGATATAACGCCGAGGTTTGCACATATATAGATACGTGCTACGGCGTACATGCACACATGCAGACTATATGCTACGCTCGCAATGGTGGTGACTGTGATATTCGTGCCAGTAGGTTGTTCAATATATACACACGTATATATACGCGATCGTACAGACCTTATAGCCTACGCGATTTTAAAAGCAATGCGCCAGACCAGAGAGTAAGAGAGAGAGAGAGACCTCTTACTCTCGACTTTCTTATTGTGACTACAAAGTATGGACTCTTGTAACATTTATGCCCGTGCGCGAAAGAATGCATTATTCCTCGAAATTGCCTCGGCCCAATGATGCTATTACGGAGCTCTTGACTATCGCATTTATATATGTGCGCGCATGAAAATTCGACGTATTCGTGCAGGCTCGCTGTAATAGCATCGGCGACACACGCGAGCCCCGCGAATACCGCACCGATCGACGCACCAGCAACACATCAACAAATTGCTGTATTGACACTGTCCAATGAGACTCGACGTTTTCACGGTTACACTTCTAAAAGGGGAGTGGACTTTACTTTCACCCGACGTAAATCAATGAATGCTATACATGTATATATATTCTATGATATGCAGTGTGACTCTCGCGACTCGCGCAGCGCCAAGGAGCGAGAAAGAGAGAGAGAAAGACAGTCGCGACGCTTGTACGATCGCGTGTAAGAATCCTGCGCCCGAGTATACATATAAGCTGTAGTAGTGTTGTTAAAACTACATCATATTATTTGCTTCATCATATTATTTCGCCTTTTATGTAATATCGTTTCGAATATATATAATATTTTATGATGCTTCACCGTGACGTATTGCTTATATACACAAACACACGTATAATATAACTAAACGACAAGACTGGATTTACGAAAAAAAAAATCTTAAAACTCACTTCTCGATATCGTGTATCTATAAATAGTTGGTATCGAGAGTATTGCATATTTTCATCGTTTCATTGCGAAACTATTATATGCGGGGACGTGTTTATTGCCGAACGCCGATCGTCGACAGTGCCTGTATATATTTCGACAATTCAGATGTCTTTTTTTTTTTTATTTTTATCAAAGTTTTTAAAGGTATACGTCCGATTACAAAAAAGCTCGATTTGCGCGTATGCGACACACACACGCCTACATGCAAAACTTGATATATTTGTAATAAATTCGCAAATTTCTCACATGAGCCGCAGCGAATTCCATTACGCATTTCATAAAGGAACAATTTTTCGGAGTTGCGTCAGTAGGAGATTCAGAAACTCGATGTCGTTAGGTTTTAAATTTTATGAACGCGCGTCTGGCAGAAAAAAAGTCATCGCTCGCGGGCTGCTAATTTGCTTACTACACTTTATAACGTGCGCAATACTTGCAGATTGTCGACCACAGAAACCACCGCATCCATGCGCAACAACCCCCCGAACGTGTCTCTCTCTCTCTTATGCTTAAGGATAGCGAATTCGAGCATGCCTTTCGAGAAGTTGAATTTGGTGCGTCCAAACTAGTTTTCACGAGGATAAGAGGACAGAAAAACAGACGGAAAGAATGCGCAAAGTTTGGTCTTCTTTTAATTCGAAATTCCCGGGGCACGAAAAGAAAAAATTGTTCGCAAAAGTCAATCGCTAGGCAGCAATTTGCAGCGCACACATGTTACGCTAGGAACACGATCGGCGATAATATATTCGCTCGTAACCACAATCGATGTTAAAAATATCAGCTTTCGAGCGCGACGATTGCGAAGTCGACATTCGGTGAGGCTAAATTAATATGTCCGTTGTTTATTAAATAGAAAGTACACGTAGCAGGCTGATAAATAATAATTGCGCGTGTAAGGGGCTCATTGGCACGCGCACAACACTGCAGCAGATTCGCAACTCGAGTATCGGAGCCCGTCCCAATATCGTAGCGAGGTGCCGCTCTATGCACGCTTTGGCTTTGCCTAATCGAATCGCGCGCTCCATACCGATCGTCGCGAGCAAACTCGTAACGCGCGTACATCATCTCGCTGCTATATGTAGCTATAGGCTGTTGTGAAAAATTCTTCGACTTTACGGAAGAGATCGATTATCGGCGATCGGCGCAAAAAAGAAAAACGCACGAGCTGCACCGGTTTGGCCAGGCATCGGCTACGAGTTATTCCTTCCAAATCACCGATCTCTCGCGGTCTGTTTTTTTCTTTCTCGAGTTTGATTTATGCAGCGCGCGTAAATATTTGTATGTATGCATAGAGTTATACGTATACAGAGAGCGCGCAATGTTTATCTAGTCTGGTGCACAAAAGAAATGCGCGCGGCGCGACATTATGACGAAACCGATGACGTTGAAGAATGCGTGCCGCTGCTGGCGCATACATGTTTATATATGAGCATCGTGTGCAGGATAGCGCGAAGCGCAGCCAGGACGATTATACGCTGCGTAGCCAGTGGAAAATAACCTACTTTTTACAACAATGATGAAAAGTTGTTTTCATGTGAAAATCTTTCTTTTTTTCTCTCTCTCTCTCTCTCTCTCTCTCGTATTACGTGGCGTTATCAAGATAAACTTTGGTGTTACAAGCGATACATATAGCTAGGCGAAATAGATGCTGTAATAAGCATTATGCTCGGTATAAAACTCGCGTGAGTAAAGTTCACGCTAGCGATGAAGAGTATCGCACCGGAGGATCGTTACATATATTATGCGCATACAACTTCTCGCGCGCACGTGATAAAAGGAAGAGAAGAAAAAAAGGCGGTCAGCGCTGCAGCGCGTCGATCGCTACGTATAATGATGTGTGTAACCGATCATTCGAAACCGGGGCATGTGTATTTACACACGCATACTCGGCCTACACTGCATCCGTGTCGTCGTCGTCGTCCTCATCTTGGCGCACAAAAAGGCTCCGACGAATCAAATGGTATCGCGATGTCGGCGAGGGCCGATCGGAAATCGAGTCGGGATTTTTCTCGATTTTTCGTGCACACGGTCTCTGCTCTTACGCATCGATATAACTCGTGTACGTAGGCGACACGCGGCGTCGCGAGGAAAAGCGATAATAAGTAACGAAAGGACAACGACAATATATCGTCGCTCTGCGCACCTTCACTGCAGCTCACTCCTAATTTCAATACT